TTGGAGCATATCCCCTTTCCAAGCAAGGTAATTTAATGGAGCAGTGCCAAGCTCTGCTCTGGAATTCACTGCCACAGGATTTCGAGAGCCCAAAGTACAGGTAGGGTCAAAGGCAGCCAAGCAACTGTTTGGTAGGAAGGTCCTCGGAGGATGGTTAAACACCAAGGAGAGCATCAGTGGGCCACGGCATCATAGAATCATAGAATGGTTTGGGTTGGAAGGGACCTTAAAGGTCATCTAGTCCAACCCCCCTGCTGTGGGCAGGGACATCTTCAACTAGATCAGGTTGCTCAGAGCCCCCTCCAACCTGACCTTGAACACTTCCAGTAAAGGGGCATCCACAACTTCTCTGGGCAACCTGTTCTGCTGTCTCACCACCCTCACAGTAAAGAATTTCTTCCTAATATCTACTCTAAATCTACCCTCTTTCAGTTTAAAACCATTATCCCTCATCCTATCACTACACTCCCTGTTAAAGAGTCCCTCTCCATTTTTCCTGTAGGTCCCCTTTAAGTACTGTGTCCCTGTGCTGCAGGGGGGACCTCACAGGGGGAGCCCAACGCACACCTGCCCTGCTCCCATGCACATCTATAGGCATCTGACGGTGCTTCTCCTGGGGCCGGGTGGACCTGTTGGCCTGAGAGCATCCTGCCTTCGCCCAGATCCAGGCAGCTTAAGCATGGGCACAAGGGTGGGGAAGAGCAGGGTTCACCACCATGCTTGTCAGCCAAAAATTTCACACAAGCACCAGGGTTGGTTTTACCCTTTTGCCTGGGGTTTGAGAGCCGTTGCCCCCCTGCTTTGCAACGAAGGCTGCCGGCTGACCTTTGTGAGCCTTATTCTGCCGCCTTTACTCACTGGAGGAAACACTTACTCACACCAGGCATCCCACTGCCCATCTGCAAAGTCATTGTCATTGGGCTTGAGAATCTTGCACAGCCTTTTGCCCCAAATTATGTTGATACTTTGCCCCCAGTTGCTAACACAGCAAAGAAAACTTGCAGTATTTGAACCTCAGCGAGATTACGAATCTGACAAGTAGAGACTTGACAGGGATGTTATCACAAGGCCCAACAACGGCTTTACACTCAATTACATTTATGGTTTCCGTGATTCATCTAAATGTTTATGGCTTTGTCACTACCTGGAAGTTAAGAAAAGAAAAAAAAATGAAAAGGAAAAAAAAAAGCCCTGTAATGAACAATTTGCTGGTGCAAGACACTGGGTGACACTGGAGAAACTGAGCAACTACCTTAGGTGGTGGGGAAGAGTCATTTTCTGCGGTGACTGGAGCTATATTTGATTTCTTAGGCAATGTCAGCTTTTGCATGCTGCATTCTTTGGCTAATCGCCAGTGCGATGTGTAATACTTTAGCCACACTGTTGTTACTTAATCCTTTCCTAATCTGCAATTTGCGCAAGAAGAGTAAAATCTAAGCAAAGCCACTGAGAATATCTCCACGAATAATTTATCAAACTTGACTTTTGTTGTTGGCAGGAGACGGTAGTCGGTGGAGGTGAATGTTTTCCCACAACAGCGCCGTATGATAAACACGGGGCAGCTGATTCATGCTGCACTTATTTTCTGTCATCCACCCTTCGTGTCACCCTGATATTTCTTTGAATGATAAGCCCGCATGTGTGCTCACAACACACCGCCGAGGTCCCAGTTTCATCTCTTTCTGCAAATTACACATTAATTAACCATTAATAACAGTGGGAGTTGCATGCAGAAATCCACACCCGCTGTGATGAGACCGTGCCCTCGGTGAGCAAGTGCCTTATTAATCACCTGCATTTCGGTGCCGGAGCTGCCTCCGCAGCCCTGCAAGACAAACGTCCCTTGAGAGAAAAGCGCACGGGCGCTCGCCAGCCCTAATCCTGCCGTAAAGAAAAGCGTTACCTCTTGCTCTATGAATTTTATTTATTTTGGTCCTCTGGGCAGTGCTTGCTGTTGTTAGAAACATGATTGCTTCATACAGTTATGTTAATGTTTGCGTTTGACAGAATGTAATTGATACTTCTGCTGCTCTGCCTTCAAAGCCAAATTAGGAAATGAAGTGCTGCACATTAGCTTGTTTAGCTGGTTAAATACCGTAAATAAATACATACAGTGCAATGAAAACTAATGAGTTTTCTTTAAGGCATTTTCTAAATAGCTGGCTTCATAAAAAAAATTAAAAAATGTTCCTGCTGTGAACTCATATCCTGAAGGATTTGTCGTTTTGCTGCAATAAAAATTGACCCTGGCTGAAATCTGAACTCTGGATTTCACCTGGAGACCGGGATGTTGCAAGTCATGGAGGATGATGGTAAGAACTGTTGCAAATTTCACGGTACTTTTACCAACAATAGTTCTGAGAGACGTTGCATTTAACAAAGCCATTTTTTGCAAGGGATTAATTCAAACTGTGGTTACATGTCAAGCTATTCTTCTCAATGCTCACTAGGAAAACATTATATTTGTAAGGAGCATTTGCATAGGATATTTCTTTGTGCTGCTAAATCTGTGCAGTGCCATAATGCTAAACGTTGGGTTTTTTCCCTGACAGAATGCAATAGCATGAAAAAAAGTGGGAAAAAACCCTGCTTTTGTATAAAGAGATAATCTGAAGAGATTTGCTTGACAGAATGCACTCAGTACTGATTGAATAAAATGTGTTTTTCAAGTTATCTCTCAGGCCTACCCTCAGTGCATTAAAACAGCTAGAGAAGCCTACCCTCAGTGCATTAAAACAGCTAGAGCTGTTTAAAGCATGCACAGGCTTTACAAGCACGATGAATCTTTGTCTTGCACATCTTTATAAAAAATTGCTCTTTTCCCCCTTTTCTTTCATAAATAATACATTGATTCTAAGTGCCTTTGACTGACTTGAAGGTGTTCTCCTAAAATCAGGGCACTTTTTAGCGTAGGTAGAACTGCACCTCTACCAGTCCTTCTTAATTAACTGCAAATAACCTCAGCAGTATCATCTGCTTGGCAAAGAGATGTTGACCTTAAACCTGAGCTTGCTGAGCTGGCTATTTTACCTGGCGCTTTAAGAGGAAGCTGGTTTATAAATTCTGCAGTGCTACTTTAAAAAGAAAATTATTGAACTGATGCCTAAAATGCAGCTGAAGTATCAAGATTTGATAAAAATGTATATCTAGGATGTAAGATCTATCCTGACTGGGAGGCGTTTTGATGCCAGTTTAGGATGGAGCCCAGGATGTAGTGAAAAACCTCAATTTTTGTGTGTTTTCAGCAGCAAACAGAGGAGAAGTGAAGGCTCCCAGCACTTTTCAGAGAGGCCAGCAATATCTTGCAACTTCAAGATGAAAATGGTGACCAGCTCTGAGAAATACATAAGAGATTCAGACAGTCCTCATCCAAAAGGACCATTTAAAAATAGACAAATTATGACTCTCTCAAAAAGAAATGTATGCATTGCATAAATCAAAGTTCTCACACCCACCATCAAAGTTTAATCACTTAATATGCTGGTTCTTTCAACATGCTCTGAAACTTTGTATACAATAATACAAACAATGGGGTTACGAAGCAATAGCAATTTATTCTGCTGTACAAACGGATGTTGCATTATAATCCCTAAAGCAACACAGAGGCTGTTTGCAGATGTTACTACAATTTGGCATTTATTTTAATTGCTCTACAGTGTAGCGCATGTGAAATAAAGTCATGGGATGACCTACACATTCACCTACTCAGGGTGACTTAACTGCAGGGGAAAAAAAAAAGTGTTTTGAAAGTTTTCAAGGTTTCACCAAAGCACAAACCTCCTGCAGTTGTTTTAAGTTGTTTCAGGCTTCTGTCCAAGCCTGAAAGCATGGTAGGGCAGGGGGTAATTTAATCAGCCAGGCTATGTGGCGCATGTATTTTTACAAGTCTTTCAAGAATAACATCAGTAAAGTAACTTGAGATATTTTGGTGTCTGACATTCACTCAGCAAGTGCTAAGAAAATATGCTTACTGCACAGATTGCTGATTTCTCAGAGTGGGAGTCAAGGTGCCTAATTAAAGTCAGTGCACTTGGCTTTACCATTGACCAGGTCCCTATTCCCTCCTTTTCTCTTTCCACTCTCCTTCTAAAAGCAGAGTGTATTTAAAAGTTGCTCCTGCTCAAAGAACTGCCTGGAAGCAGTTGTTCTGGTGAACAGATTTCAAGCAAAAGGACAAAGTTAAACATGAGGCAAAGTATAAATAAAAATCAAGACTCTCTTCCTCCTCCTCCCTACTTGTGAGCGATGATCTCACCGCTCCGGGTGGATTACAAGGGTGGCTTGATCTCTTTCAGGAAAGCACATTCTCTAACCTTGATACTGCTGCTATTTATACTCCTCTCTTCTCACCACAAAGAAAAGCGGCTCTAATAATCTTTCCCTTCGTTTTTAAAGGGAGCACTGGGTGGCCTCTGCATTGCCTCCTGGCAGCGGGGTCAAGCCCCTGCCCACTGGCTCCGGCTCCCCGTTAAAGCCGATGCTCTCGACCACTGCCTCTGCTTCTGGCTGCTTACTTTCAGACACCTGAGATGTGATTTTCCACTGGCTTGAGCATCACATTGCCACGCACACAGGTGCAGGATGACAGCCTTGCCGTGCCATAGCATTTTCTCCTCACGGGGCACAGATGGAAATGAATGCACGTGCTGAAAGGCAATAGGGTTTCTAAAGTTCAGAGGCAGAGCTGTGACTCCTCTCCCCCTCGTTTATCAGATGAATAGGACACCCCGTTTCACATAGCTCTGGGGACATCTCAGGCCCTTCCCACCCCCCGAGAGGCAGGAGCCATCCCCTGTCCCCACTCATCTCCATGGGGATTCAACCCCAGTTAGAGCTGGGGGAGTCAGGGCTCAGACCCCGGCAGCTCAGGCACGATGGAGCATGCATAGGGACTGTAGATGAACTGATCCTCTCTGAGGCCAAACCCCATTTTTTCAGATTAAACCAAACATACTCAAGCTGCATTCCCCTCAAGACACCGCAAGAAATGGAGACAAACATTATGAAACGAAGTTTATTAAAACTTTCTACAAGTCAGACTTTATCATCCAGGTTTCCATATACATATACATATTTACAAGTTGGACATAGTGTTTTTAGCTTTTCTGGCAGAGTTTTCTACCAATATATACAAATGTACTGTTTTTCATAGAAGGGTTAAACTGTATCACAGATACAAATGTCAAGCAATCATGAGAGGTTTAGTGCAACGGAGAGCTGTAGTGCCCTGCTCTTAATGCTCATGATTCTGTCAAGTTAGTATTGCCAACAATAATTCACATTAAATTGCTCTTCGACACCTCTTATTAGGACAAACAAAGTACAACAAAACAAGAAAACAAAACCCCAAACAGTAAGGTATGTACAAAGTACACAGTCCATGAGGTATACATGGTATTCTTGCAACGCGTGGTGGGACTGCAGCTTGCCGGGGGTTTACCTTAAAATGACTTCACTCGAACTGTGCCGTGTCCGGGACGTACGTTACCCACCCACAGCCATTTCAGAAGCTGCGCTCTCGCCTAAGGCGAATGGACATCTCTTTGCATAAGCCACTGGACACAAATGTGAAACGAAGCAGAAATTTTAGGCAGGACTAAGCTTTACTTACCCCCAACCCAGGAAGCTAATGATTTAGATATATTCATTATCCACGCACATTGGAAAGACTATGAATAATCATGCAAAAAAAAAAAAAATTTAAGGGGAAAAAAAAAAATGTAGCCAGAGGCAAACAACATACCTGAATAATCAACTAAGGACATCTGGAGATTTTACTCTTAAGACTAACTTTTTGGGGAGTGGAGGGGAGAAGAGGAGAGGGGATGTGATGTTTTTAAGAGTTGAGCCTGTAGGAAAACACAACCGTGTTTACATGTACTGTACAAGATACCCCTTATCGTTTTCCAAGGGAAGGCGCCCCAGCCGATAGTGTTACGGTTTGGTAAACGGATATGTTTTGGCACTCAGAGCTAACGAGACCTGCTACTTGACAAGCTCGCTGAGGGCATAAAGTTATACAGGCTACACCATGGTAACACGAGGCTTAAGTCTATTTAAAATGCTTTCCTGGTCAGCGAATGGAATCGGAGGGGATCCAGCTGGGAGATCCACCAGTTTCTGCTTCGGAAAGAGCCACAGCAGTGGTTTGTCTTACGGGTGGATCTAGGAGCTTCATGCCTCTGAAAGCAAGATCAGCTGGAGGAGCAGCAGCGAGCAGGCAGCTGGCCGTGGCAGGTGAAGACCTCCTTCCCTCATTAAAGTGCGCTTACAGTCAGAAAGCTACTTTGCAAGCCGGCTGGTGTGGCACGCCGAGTCGATTCCCCTTTTTACGCATTTCTGTCAGATGTGCTCAGTTAGAGGCGCGCCTCGTGCCCCCCACCCCCTAAGCATCACGGCCAGGGCTCCGCACCCCCGTAGCCACCGTGGGAAAGCAGAAGGGGCTGCCTTTCTGTCTCACACCTCACCAGCCATAAGACTCTGCAGCCAAGATGCGGCCAGTTACACCAGTGGAGAATGCGGGAGGCAGGAGAAAAGCCAGGCGGCTCTCGCAAAGCTGCCCGGGTCCTCCAGGGCCAGCGGGTCGGACCTACCAGCAGAGCAAGAGGATGAAACTCTGAGTACGCTCAGGGAGCGGAGATCTATGGGTTGGCGTTTATTTTAAACAAGGTCACTTTTCTGACCATACTGGCATTTTAAGATGCTGTTGAGTTTGCAAACGTTGAAAAATGAAGCCCTACGAAGATGCCGGAGGTGAGAACCATGGAGGATTTTGAGATTTCGGGGTTAGCAGAAGAAGGAACTAATATCGTCATTGTCTCCGTGGTATTCTGGAACAATTTGATCTGAAGTTCCCGTCTCCTGGTCTGTATATCCAGGCTCCAAGACCGCCTCAAACCAAGGGTGAAGCAAGATCTCCGGAGCAGTGAGTCTTTCAGAGGGCTCCCGCCGCAGGAGGCTGCGGATGAGGCATCGGGCTTTGGGGGAGACGTGGTCAGGAATACAGAACTGTCCACGCCGGATTTTGGAAAACAGAGTGCTAGGGTCCGAGTCATGGAAGGGATAGCGTCCCACCAACAGGGTATAGAGCATCACTCCCAAACTCCACACGTCGGCCGATTTTCCAGAGTAAGTCCCTGTTGTGTTTAGGATCTCAGGGCTGACGTACGCTGGGCAGCCGTGCTTGTCTGAGAGCGCATCGTCTTCGCCTTTGATGATGTGTGTGTCTTCCAGGCTCTCCAGCCGCAGCTGAGTCCTAGGGAGGGCAGGAGAGGAAGCCACAGGTTAGAAATAGCAACACCCAGGCATAAGCAAGCACGGCGAGCCCCCCCCGGCTGCAGCAATCCTCACTCCCCTTCTCGCATAGGCATAAAAAGGAGAGGAAACACTTTTTAATTTGCAGCAGAGAAGTTGCCTGGACTCCTGGACCCGTGCAATGGAGCACAGCTATGTGCATCGGGTAGGCACTCAGCGATGCCTGCTTGTTTCATTTACTGGGGATTTTAACAACACAGAAGGCTCTCGAGGAACACCAGCAAGTCACCTTCTATCTACGCAGGTTGCACTGCAACTGCAGGGGGTTAATCGGCTACAATGCATCGTACACGCTGCTATTTGCGGTTCAGGCTTTGAGCAAACAGCGTCCAGCTGCGTGATTTTGCAAACCACAAAGTCCAGCTCCCTTCCGTGCTTGCGGGAATCATCGGCTCTCCCAAGTTTTGTATTTTATTTTTTAATTGTTACTCTTTTTGCCTTTCTGGAGGGTACCACCGCACCCACCACCTCCCGGGTGGAGATGGGTCCACCTTGACCTCCCATTTTGCGGGGAAAGGGGAGCTTCGCATCAGCGAGGAAGCCGTCGGCTCGCCCTGGAAGGACTCTACACTGCCTTGCAGCCCGCTGGGGTGTAGATGCATTGGCTGCAGCCTGTCCTCAGCGTGACCTCGCCAAATACCCATTGGTTCTGCAAACGGAAAATATGACTCAACACGAACCGTGGGCCCGGGATTGGCTGCAGGAGCCCTGAAACTGCACCTGTGCCGGAGAGCCCAAGTCCGCCTGCCATTGCTTAACCCTCTTCTTGCCAAATGGGATGCACATGACACTCGCCTGTGCAACGCGTTATTTCCAAATGAGCAAGACTGTGTGCAATGTAACATTTCAACAAATGTTTCATCTTCTTATGGGCGGGAAAAGCTGCAATAGTTTCCTTCAAAGGAATTACTTTCTTTGCATGTCAACATATGGTTGTTTCTGTTTAAGAGGGGCAGTGCTGGTTAATTTTCTTATCACATTTATAAGTGATATCCTGAAGAAGCATTAGCCCAGTTAAACAGAAAAAAACAAAACCAAAACATGTTTTCTTCTGCTTCTGTAACATTACTTCCAGTTTCATCAGATTAAGCACAACTCCATTACAGCTTTTACTTATTTTTTTAGCTTTCCACAGGATAAGCAGCTAGTCAGCATCAGTTTTGCTGATTAATAATGTATTTCTGGCTCTGCCACATGTGGTGAGGCACTACAAGAGCAGCAAACACTCCAGGGAAATACTGAATTATTTCCCTAATCTAAATTTAACAACTAGATTCTTGATCTCCTTTCTATAAACCTAGGCTTTAGGCTAAGTTTTACCAAAGTGCTTTTCTTCAGTGCAGGATTCCCAAAGCAATATTTAACTGTGTCCCACCTTCCCTCCCGTGCATGCCCACATCCACGAGAACAGGGGGCACGGAAAGCACCGCCACCGGTAGTGGAGGAGGGATAAAAGCCTTGAAGGACACAGCCGGTCTTTCAGCAGCAGCGTAACCCTGATCAGCAGGGGATTTCAGTGAGGAGACCCCTCACGAGCACCCCTCTCCCGACCGCGGATCTGCCACGGGTCAGGTCCCAGCCACAAGGAGGGACCAGAGGCTCAGGCTCCTCACAACTCCTGCTCCCTCAGATGGGCCATTCCCTCTCCCTGGCCCAACGCCTCAGCCTCCCTCCTCTCCTTTTCTCTGCCTTTTATTCATTTTACACTGAATGAGTGGCACACATGACATCTTCTGGCGCTAACGAGCACCCGAACTATCGTCCCTTTGTCTACCAGTGGGTTTCACTGAACTTTTGCTGAATGAGAGGAAGCTCCTGGCGAGCTTCCTCCCTTTCATCAGTCGAGATCTAACTAAGAGTAAGTACATACCAGTTAGATCCGTGACCTACAACACACACGTGATGGGGACCTACTCGGATCGCTCGCAGGTGATGCCTGGCTGACATGGCTGTTTCCACTCCCTGGGACACTTTTTGCATCTCTGGATGTGGCATTCCTCCCTCCCCACTCACCCCAGGGCTGGCTGGTGACAACCGCTTACCTTTCTTCATTAGAGAAGACAAATTTCCTGAGCTTGAGGTCACCAAGTACGATGGCCGACTGGTGGCAGTGAGCTACAGCAGAGACAATCTGCTTGAACAGCCGGGCAGCCTCCTCTTCCCTCAGCCTCTTGCAGCTCCTCACGTAGGAGTGCATGTCCCCAAAGTCCTTTTCAAAGAACACATAGGCCTTGGTGTCCCCGAGGATGACTTCAACAACCCCGGTGATGTTTCTGTGCGACGGTAGCTGAATGTAAGGCCGGATCTTGTCCTGGTAGTGTTTGAGGGGGAACACCTGTAAAGAGGAAATTAAACCAAAATTCATTCTCAAGGGCGTTGAAAACAGCCGCTCGCGTAGCAACTCTCCCCAAACAATGACGAGGGAGCTGGAGGGGAGCCAGAGCTCAGCAGGAGCTCCGTTCAAAGCGGTTACCGAGACCCTTCCTGTTCATTTTATATTGAAAAGGGGGAAAAAATAAAACGAACCACCACCCCCAAAGCTTTTTGGGGAAGGTACTCCGAGGTAACCCGGAGTTACAGCTTATTTCAGCGCATATAAAATCCCCACCGGCGGCAGGCCGGGCGTTTCTAACCGGGGAGCAGCGGGAGGATGTTTTGCAAGGCTCTCCCCGGGTCGAGCGGTTACGCGGCGCTCAGAAACACCGGTAGGATCCCCCCCCCCCCCCCCCC